TCAGTCCCGGGCTGAATTCCTCTCTAGCTCAGCACAAGAAGATCAAGTTTCATGCCCCTGGCAGCTCACTCTCTGGCCCTGTCTAGATTAGGAATATAGATTGTTTGAAAATATTAGCTAGCATGATTTTAAACATGATTTTGCAGCTACTCTACACACAGGTAACTCCTTTACAAATACATTAGCTGGCTGGAGATACTATATATAGGGATAGGCTAACTGGGAGCCTAAGGAGTGATCACAACTAGCTAATAAGCTTTTCAAAAGAGTTCAGCTGTGTTTTTGAAAGGAGATAAGTGTTAGGTAACATGTTTTTAAATACTACCTATTTACTTAGTCCAGGTAAGCCCTGTGTCTACACTGGGTGCTAAGTGGTGGTTAAAAATATGTTGACGTGTATCGGCTAACACTGTTTAAAAACACCTTTCATTTCCCCAACCTAGACATGTCTTATCTGTTCTCTCCCTCAGCGGCTCCACCTCTGTTATGGACTGATGAGCTGCTACCAGGATAGGAACCTGTGCAGGTTGGGGGGCCTAGGAGAATCCCTGGGCACAAAAGGGCAGGAGGGGCAAGATGCGGGTGGGTGGAAGGCCATAAGCATTGGGAGAATAGCAGAAGCTGTGAGGAGCAACTCTTTAACACAGCAGTTCTCAAACTTCATTGCTCTGTGACCCCCTTTTGACAACAAAAATTATGACATGACCCTTGGGGGGGGGTGGGGGGAATCAAAGCTAAGCCTGTCTGAGCCCTGCCACCCCAGGCGGGGGGTCCAAAGCCCAAGGGCTTCAGCCCTGGGCAGGAGGCCTGTACCTTAAGCCCCGCCATCCAGGGCTGAAGCCCTCGGGCTTCGGCTTCAACCCGGGGCCCCAGCAAGTCTAACTCCAGCCCTGGTGACCCCATTAAACTTGGGTTGTGACCCATTTTGGGGTCCCAACCCACAGTTTGAGAACTGCTGTGACTTTTCAGATAAGCAGAACCATCTGGGGAGAGTTGGAGGGTTTCATATGCATTCTTTGCATTTTAATTTGTTGTTCTCTGCCTTTTCCTTGCACCTTTCCAAAAGCAAAGCAACCTGAAATTAATCAAAATGCAAACATAACCTTGCAGCAGGCAGCAGACCCCAGACCCCATTTTATTTGGAGAATTGTCCCTTGCAATTTATTTCAAGTATTAGCAAATTATGATGAAATGGAGTAGATTGCAAACTCTCATCTTTCATATAGATATGCAGCAGCCCATGGAGGCTACAGGTCTCGACATGCAATGATCTGCCTTGATATGAGTGGCCCAGCTGCTTGGCTAGATCTGGAACGTTGCTTGCAAGGACCTGTGGTTTCCCCAGTTCTCATCTGTTCTAAAGATGAGAGCCCTATCTCCATAGGAATCCATGGGCTGTTTGACTGCTTCTTATCTACAGACGGAGTACAGCTGGGGTGAATGAGCCAAGTCTGAGACATGGAGGAAAAGGTTAAGGACTGAGAGGCCCAGGGAATAAGGTGGTTGTCCTGTATAGCTGAATGTTAATGCTAATATTTCCATATTTACAGGTTTCAGAGTAGCAGCCGTGTTAGTCTCTAAGGTGCCACAAGTACTCCTGTTCTATTTCCATATTTATTTACTTGTATAGCATTAGCAGTATGCTAGGTACTTTATACAAGTATAAAGACATAGTACCTGTCCTAAATTGCTTACAGTCTAGGTACCATAAGCACGGTGTGTTAGAGAAAAGACATGGAAAGGTGAGGAAAAATAAAAGAATTACAAGATATGTTTGTGGAGAAAATTAAGCTGAGGTTTTTACTTGGTGCGGGAAGGGTGAAAGTTTACCTGCAAGCAGTTTGCATTGCCAGTACTTTTCTAAACTTTTCTTCACAATTTTTTAGGACACTTCTGTGTTCACTGAGGTTATCTGCTGGATCCCATAATGAAGTCATGATCCAGGGATGATGTATTCTGTTGCTACAGTTGAAATGTATGACTATGTATGACGAAGTACATTATGACTTCACTGCAGTATCTGGTAGAGGGTGAGGGTGGAGTGAGAGGGAGGCATTTCTATACTCACCATTTTATTTTTTCTTTTGTCATATTTGCTAAATAGCAAAGTTGGGGAAAACATTTATATTTTTACTTCATATCTTTGAGTTTTCTCCAGTATAAAAGGAGTATATAAGGAGTATTCTCTTGTTTTAAGGGAACTTAACTGTACATAGCTTGGCAAAAAGTAGATAAAGTGGGATGATTATGATGATTGTCTGCCGCGGTTTGAGAAGTAGAGGATGGAGGATTACTCATAGTTTGAAATATTAGAAACAGCAGCAGCGTGATAGGAAAATTGTAGGTTTAGGTGTTAAATCCCTCACTTAACTGGTGTCTAGGTACTGGAGCGATCATCCAAAGAGATGGCTTAGGGCTTGTCTGCACTGTGTCACGTTAAGGACTATGGAGGTGTGAACTGCAGAGCACACCAAAGTGTTGCTCTTTAACTGGACTCTGAGGATGCTACTGACACAAACTAAAAGGTACCGAGTTGACATTAACAGAGTCATCTTTCAAACAGGACTATGCTAATGCAAACTAGGTACCTTTTCATTCTTGCCAGCATGTCCATACAGGGCAGTTAAAGCGCAACACTTGGGTGTGGTGTGCAAGTCACGCGCCTGTAATCCGCACTGCGCTGCAATGCAGATGTAGCCCTAGACACCATCAGGAGAGGTATTTAAATAGCGGGCTAGAGAAAATGTTCAGAGAAAGTAATATATAGGCAATGCCTGTTTCCATCAGGCAGGCTTTACGCTAGCTTACGGTCTCTAAAATTTCCCACAGTTGCTGCCACCAGTTCAGCTCCATTAGTGGGAACAATGGCAGGGAGCACTGGTGCAGACAAAGTGCCAGGCATCCATCACAGGCATTTTACTCATGTTTATGTAGGTCTGCTCAGAACAAGGTTAGACCATACTGTGCTTACAATGCTGAAGGACAACCAGAAGCCCTGTCTACTCTAACACTCCCATCATTGCTACCCTAGTGGAACTTTACAGGTCACAATGGGAAACATTTTTCACAAAACCATAGTGTAAATATTCTTATAGTTGGATTGGATAACCCAGGGAGTCTCTTCCAGGTTTTACCTCATCAGATGCATACTTTCTCCACACTTTGTTTTAACTGTTTATACAACAGCATGAATGTTAAGTGTTCGACTGTCAAACACACAAGTAAACTTTGGATGCTCTGTTAGACCAAGATCCTTGGAACAAGGACTGTCGTCGTCTTTGTGTAGTGCTAAGCATTCTGTCAGTACTTGTCAATAACAAGGAAATTCTAAAGTGAAGTTTCAAATCTGGGATAAATCAAAAACCTTAAGGCTACTTCAGCATTTTATTCTACAGCATATGCATGGAATCAGTTGGAGTGATGTTAACCCAGACCGTGTACTCATTGCATTTTGGACTGTTTTCATTTTTTTCTCTCAATTCTGCTGCTTCAAGCAGAAAATGAAGTGAGTAGCCTTCGTACCTCATTCCACTTTCTCAACCTTGTTTTTGATAGATTTCCAAAAGAAGCAGCCAGATGATGACTCCACTCCCAGCACAAGCAACAGCCAATCAGATTTGTTCTCTGGAGAAACAAACAGTGACAACAGCAATACCTCTCTAACTACGCAGACTGTTAACTCCAACCAGCAACTTTCGACAGAACTGAATGTAACTTCGCTGAGTAAAGAGGAATGTAAGTGCATGAGCCTTGAGGAGGGGAAAACAGGAAACCTAAACATCTGCTCTTTTCTCAGTGCCATTTGTCACTGTCTCTTACTAGAAAGAGATGACCTCTCTTTTGGGGAGGAGGGAGTTAGAAAATAATTGTGAAACTCAAACAGTTGGGTTTAATCAAAAATGAGCAAACAAAAAAGGGGCCACTTTGATTTTAGAAACAATTTTTATACTGATGTACAGCTGTTTGAGCTTTAGTCCTGCTGATCTTGATTGACTCTAAGACAATTTTACCCATTTTTATGAAATTTTGTCCCTACATTACTACAGGTAAACTATTGTATGCGGTGGCTTAGAAACCAGAATCTTATCCATTTGGTCCATATATCATTATTTTAAAACCTTTTTAAAATGGCTATATGCAGTATTGACGATAACATAGGGTTTGTTAAACTGATGGTAAATCTCTCACAGAACTGACTGTGGGATGATCTTTGACCCCATCTCCCTGTTCACGGTTCTCTGTCTGTTTATAGAACTCTTACAGGCTAGAATCCTATTTAAAGGCAGAGGTAAAATGTTCAGACTTGGCATGATAAAACTCTGGGCTAATGTCTGCCTTCTTTCAGGAAAATTTATTCTAAATTTCTGTATGAGTTAATGCTGTGTGTAATATATTGAGTTAAAATGTTCCAATACGTTACACTCGTAAATAATGTGTGATTCATAGTTTCATTTTCTTCAGACTAAAGTCTTACTTTTCTGGAAGGTGGGCTATGGAAAGAATCTCTCTTGCTCTTAATACCCTGATATCTAATGAATGACAAATACACATGCACATTTCAAGGAGAACATATTTATATCCACATCTTTTTTAGTAGGGAAGATGCTGGAGATGCCAGCGTTCTTAAACACTTTGAGTTCTTATTTATAGTAGTTGCCTCAAAGTGCCAGGGTTGAAGGAGCTTTGATACATTGCCTTTGTTGGGTTTCAGTTTTGTTAGTTTGAGTGGTTTGAACAAGGCCATATGTATCCGTATGGATTGGTCAAGTAAAATATATTCCCTCACTCACCTTGGCTCTCTAATATCCTGGGACCAACATGGGTACAACAACACTGCATACAAGTATGGGATTGTGACAGTTTATTTGTACTACCTGTAACATAAATTTTAATTAAAATTAGATTGTACTATGCTATGAATACAATATTTGGGTACCCTGTCAGTACTATGGCAGGCAGTAATGGGCACTTCCTATTAGTTAAACTCCAAGGCACTCTGATATCAGTTGCTGTAATAAGAGTTAATTTGCAATGTGACTATTGTTGTCTTTCCTTCACACACACAGTTGCTGGCGGCCACCATCCCATCACTTCCCTCCGTCCAGCGCTTCTCCACGGAAAAACCTGTGGGGTGCTGTAAAAGCAGTTCTTACAACACCTTTCCTAGAGAATTCAACAACACGTTGGGCCTTCACAGGTCTGGGGCCTTCAATCCCCTGCTCACTCATAACCCAAGATCTACCATTTGGTGATACAGGGCACTTCTTCCATGCTGCTGGGCCAGGTTTTGTGAAAATGTTTTCATTGAGACTTGAGTTGGATTACAAGGAATGTGTGTGGGTGCGGGGAGGGGGGAATTAAAGAAATAAAATGTTTTCCATCCCTAATTGCTACACACTCACCAATGGATGCTCCAAGGTGACTGATATTAGGCAGCACAGCCAGTAGAGCACTTGAAAATATTACCCATAAAAAAAATTCTTTACACCTTCCTGCTGGGATGGCTTTAGTTTAAGTGCAAAACAGTGGTGAGATTTATTTACAGTTCCAGCTAGCTCTCTTCCCCTCCTCCCCACCTCTCTAATGAAGCTCAGACTAGTGTCATTTATCAGAGATAATTATACAACAGATGGAGCTTTTCTGATGGATAATGGTCTCAAAGTGGAAGGTTCTTTCCCATAATGAAGAATACCCAAACTTTAAATGTTTTTTTTATTTTAATTTAAAGGTGGCTTTTTCTGTGTATTACGTATTTTATACCTAGTTCTATAAAGCATAAATCTCTCTCATTACAGCAGTGTTCTTAGAAGATTGATATTTTGCAGTACAGTATGATGATGTACAGCTGCATGCTGTACTGAATAGAATTGCAGTAATTCACCAGGAATCAGTGTATGGGATCATTAAGTTAATCCCTATCAAAGTGTGAAAAGATTGGAGTGCTCAGAAGTGTTCTCTTACAGGAACTGCTCAGGCTGCAGTCTCTCTGCCTGCTCCTTCCTTTTCATGTCTTCTAAATCAGTCCCACATCGAGGCATTTGCCATGGTTGTTGAGTCTGCAGGATAAACAGATTGAACAAAACTGCAGCAAGTCATTTGGGTAATTAACAAACTCTGTTCATCATGTAATAACAAGTAAAGAGAACCATACACATCTTCTATGATAAGATTCATATTTTATCTGAAGAGAGGTGGTTTTGGGGTGGGTTTTTTTTGTTTTTTGTGTGTGTGTCTTTAAGGGAGTCTTTTATCCTCTAAATATGCAGTGAATGGTCTAGGAAGGAAGTTCCTAGGGTTCGATTTTGCAGGAGTTCAGTTTGTTTGACAATATTTAAATGCCCCCCCCCCTTCTTTGTAATTCTGATTACTTTTCCTGTGAGAACCACATTTAATTTCTAGCGTCTTGTATACAGAGCCAGATTACTGCAGGTTTCCATCTCCTGCCACATCAAGGTTGGAACAGTCACCTGACCACTGGAAGGCGGTTCTGATAGTTTTGGGTTCAACCAGTTTGCTGATTAATAATTCTCTTGCAGATTGAAGGTAGCTCTTTGAGGGTTGCAGACTGCATACAGTAATACACTCAGAGCAAAGGCTTTGTGACTAATTTAATCGCTTATATTTCGAGTACATGAAGCACTACATTTCCTTTATGAGATGCAGTTACAACTTTGAGGGGAAAACAGTTTTAAGATCTTTTTTAATTGTTACTGCATTTTTCTCACTGGCATCTTCAGGCTTATCAACACAGTTTTTATATCGATTTACCTATATTGGTCTAGAAACTTAGTCAATTTACTGAAATAGGCCGTACAGATCTAAGCACTTTGATAACAGTATAACTCTGCCTGCATTATGTCAAGTATCAGAGGGGTAGTGTTAGTCTGTATCCACAAAAACAAGGAGTCCAGTGGCACCTTAAAGACTAACAGATTTATTTGGGCATAAGCTTTTGTGGGTGAAGTGAGGTTTTTTTTACCCACGAAAACTTATGCCCAAATAAATCTGTTAGTCTTTAAGGTGCCACCGGACTCCTTGTTGTTTCTGCCTGCATTGGGGTTGCACAGATTTAACTATATCTGTTTCTAAACAGATATAGTTAAATCAGTAAAAAAAATTTGTAGATCAGTTCTTCTAAATCTGGATACTTCTGTTTTATCCCCCTTTCCACCCTTTGTTTAGGCTGTCATAACATTACTTGGCCATAGGATTTGTCTGTTGCTCTGGAGATGTCTAGCTGGACTTCTTGGCAGGTGGCTATCTGAAGTTAATCTTGGGGGGGCGCGGGAGGGAGCACTGAAGGAGGCTTTTTTTTCTCCTAAACACAATCTAAAAATCTGCTTATTAAGGTAAGGTTCTCTGTATTTTGGTAAAGAAAAGGTCACACTAGATATGGAACAATTTCACTTAATTTCAGCCCTTCATTTCCTCCTTTGGGGCTGTCATATTGTTTTCCTTTTTCTATACAGGTGGAGCTAAAGCTGACACTATGCAGGCTTAAAGCTAACTCTAACTTGTAATAAGACAGGAAAAATGTCAGTGTGAAAAACTCTGACTTTGGCAGCTGGATCAGGTTTGATATTTCAGTAGTTCTTAGTTTCAAATGACATGGTTTTATTTTAATTATGTGCTTAACTTCTTCCTGGCCTTCTTTGAATTTGCAAATACCGTAATCAGAAAGGGAAGAGAGGAATTGTTTTTGATTTTAGAACAATTAAATGCACTAGATTCCAATGCTTAAGATGGTTTTTAATTAAGATATGCAAATAGACTTTCTACCAGATACATATGCCTCTGATGTGGTAGTGTAGATGCAGAACAATAGTTAAAGGTTTAGGCCAGAAGTTTCAGTGGTGGCCACTGACTGTGCCTCAGTTTTTATGTGCCCAACTTTAGATGCTTTGGTTTGATTTTCAGAGGTGCTGAGCGTTCGTAGTTTTTAGTGGTTCCTCAGCACATCAAAAATCTGGCCCTAGGTGTGTCAAGCTGTACACACAAAGTCACTTTTGAGTGTTTGATTGCATGACTCATAAAATAAGTTTTCTGTGTAGTACTCATGCTAGTGATGTTACTCTTAAACTAAGCATTTTTGGCTGTGCTAGAAGTAGTGAAGCAGCCTTTGTAAGTGTGGAAGTATTCCAGGGAGTTTAAATGTACTTGGGTTTCATGTACTGTGGCTGAAGGCCAGGGTTCTCTATCAGCTTTATCAGAAGAGTGAGGTGTGTTGTTTTTGCCTGTTCTCCCAGTGCAACTGTTGGATGTTCAGATTGAGCTTCTTAGTGTGGGGACTTGCCTAACCACTGCTTTATAAAATGCCATGCATACCTACTGTGCTTGAAACGCAATGACTATTTTCATTATTTCCATGCTCCCAATGAGAATCGAATCCCAGTCATTCCAGGTCTTTCAGGATTTCTGTGTGAAGAATGCACACAGATGCACACATCCTTTTCTGCGTGTCTTCTCTCTGACAGCACCGGACAAAACCAAGGTTCCCAATTTGTAAATGCTTCAGGTTTTTGCCTTTTGCTTGAGTAAGGCAAAATTGATAAACTGAGTCAGACATGACAGCTTTCCACTGTATACTGTTACAAATTATTTATATTACTGTTGTATTACTTGGTCTGTACACACAGAAGTAAACATCGGCCCTGAATTTCAAAAGTGGCCAGAGATTTTTGGGTGCTTCCGTTTCTGGATGCCCAATTCAAGACACTCGAAGGGGGCTGGATTTTGAGAGAGCCAGGTGCTCATCACTTTCCTAAAATTGGAGGCCTTTAAAGTGTCTCCAAATGGGCGCACACAAACACTAGTCCGTATTGCTAATCTTGTCTATGGTCCTTGCCCTGAAGAATTTGCAGTCAAATATTGTGAGCAATATATGAAGAGTGGGGAGAGACAAATATGTTAATTTGTTTATACTTCTGTAATGTGTTAACTGTGTAAACAAATATAGCCCTTCCCCACCCCTCACTACTTCTCAGCCAAGCAATCAAGAACTGACTGATTTCTGGAAGGTGATTGTGAGGAAGAATTTTGCCCTACTTTGTAGTATAAAATTGCAAATCCACAAATCTGACTTCTCCCACAGCAAATTTCTTGCCTTTTCTCTAAAAGGAATGCAACAACTATTAAAATTGTGCTGGATGCAACAATGGCCTGTTATATAACATGGTTATTACTGTAATTAATTGCATCCCCACTCATAATTGACAAAAAGTACAAATAAACAGTGGCCATAAGAAACAATATATGAAGTTTTTCCTGTGAACACACAAGATCAACTGACATCAGCCCACATGCTGATACTTAAGTTTGTATATCTGGGAATTGGCCTAAGACAGCGGTTCTCAAACTGTGGGTCGGGACCCCAAAGTAGGCCATGACCCTGTTTTAGTGGGGTCACCAGGGCTGGCTTAGACTTGCTGAAGCCCGAGTCCCACCACTTGGGGCTGAAGCCTTAGGGCTTCAGCTCTGGGTGGCGGGGCTTAAGTTACAGGCCCCCTGCCTGGGGCTGAAGCCCTTGGGCTTTAGTCGTCCTCCCCCACCCCCTCACAGCCCTTGACTCTAGAATATACTTCTCTAGTTAATGTTTGTCAGTGCTGTAGTCTGCTGACTTTTAGGGCACATTGTAAGGCCCAGTTGTTCTCAGGCTTTTTGACTGAACTAGATGATTGTGAGAGAGGTGGAACAGTTTAGTTAGGGGATGATGCTTTAGTGTGTGTGTTAAAATGGATGCACAGTGTCTAGCACATCGTTAAAATGTAAAAGTTAAACATCGTTCAATCTTTCACCTCTAGATGGCAGCAAACTTTCTTCTAATTTTAGCACAATCAATTTTTTCCCGCTTAATTTGAGAATAAATACCATCTGCCTGGAAAATAACCCATATACTCTCAAAATTGAAAACTGATGGAATTATGGGAGAGTAGGTTGAACATTTTTTGGTTAGAAAAATGAGATTTGAGTTATAGGCTCCTGGTTTGGGGACTCAACGCAGAACAAATAGAACTAGAAATTTGAAGCAAGTGTAATGTACATGTCAGGCCTTGCCTCTGCTCTGTCTATGGGCAGTCCAAACCTACCTTGTGCAAATTATGGCGGTAGGATCTTCCATGGGTTCTACTTTTATCCCTAGAATCCAAGTTTCATTTAGAGTTCGTAGGTCTGTCTTCTCAACGTATCATGCACTGTTGCTTTATGCCTTAAGTATGTAGACGGGCTGAGGAGATGGCACATAGGACTGTGAAATGAGCTCCTTCTTATGTCAGTGACATGTTAATTTTTAAGCGTAATTAAAACCAGCAAAATGCTACCAGTGTTGTTTCCTCCAATTTATACAAATCATACAGTGCGGATTTGGCAATACATTCTGTGTCCTCATTCGCCTTGGACTGTGGGACTGCTGAGCCCTCCAAAACCCATTAGCTTGGAGTATCAACTGTGATGCTAATTTCAAGCTACAAGCCTCTGACAGGCACTGCATTTACACAGACATCCACAGGCAGGGACGCACCCAACTGTGCTACATGAATGGTTTCCCAGCTGCTCCTGAACCAACGGTAGAAAGGCTCCAGCCAATTCCCGCAGCTCCCTGGTCTTGCACTGGTCAGAAGCTTGGCCAGTGTAAGTTCATTACCTAGTTCACAACTTCTTCATAGGAAAGTGGACATGCGGGGTAGGCAATAGGGGCCAGAGGCACCAAAATACAAGTTTGCCCAAGATACCATTTTCCCTAAGGCCGGCCCTGCAGAATACCTTGCTATAAGCTCTAAATATGCCTACCACACAGCAGCAGCAAAGACTTTCTCTTTGAAGACTTTCATATAAATAAAAATCCACCAAGGTGAATTAGGGCTAACTCATTAAACGCCGCTAAAATATTCATGTCTAACCCTTTTATCTATGCTTAATGGGAGTGTAACCTAAAGATATGTCTTCACTGCAGATGGGAGCATGTCTCTCAGCCTGGGCAGACAAACTCATTCTAGGAGGGCTTGAGCAGTGTACTAAAAATAGCTGTGTGGATGTTGTGACTCAGACTGTTAAGCCTAGGGGGTCAACTCGGGTGGGCTTGAGAGCCCAAGCTGCAGCTTGAATCACAACGTCTATCTGCCCGAGAGGCTCACTCCTAGTGGCAGTGTAGACATACCCAAATTTACTGTGCAGCTTTCTCATTCGGCAGCACACATGCAGAGCTTACAACTCAGCACTGTCTTTCTCCAGGAAAACATTCAATCTCTGCAGACTAAACTTGCACAAATTTAGATTCCCTCTAGTTTATATCTTTATGTATTTGTGCCACTAATCGATGATTCTTTTCAAACTTGATTATACAGATAAATTAGGTAAGTCATTAGTGATTAAGGAAATGCACAACTAGATTTGTGGTTTTGGCAAGTTTCCGAAGCACTGGTCTTCGCAGTAATGCAATACCCTCAATATATTTCCTGAAGTTTCACAAAATCCCTTTTGACTATACTAATATCCCAAGAAATCCTTAGGTTGCTAGATACCCCCTCCAGGGAGTGCACATGCTTTCAGCATCTAAGTAGGAACTTTCTGGGATGCTAGCTCCCTTCTAGCAGTGAAAGGTCAGACCAAGCTTCAGATGTACACTGCCCTTTTAGAGCACTGTGAACAGGAGATCTGGAAACTTTGTTCTCCTATATCCTTTTCACTTCATGGTCATGTTTGTTCACTATTTTAGTTAGCATGCTTTGAGTCTATTCATGGTTCTTAAAGTTTTAAAAAATGTATTACTTTAGTATTAGGCTGTCTGCCATTGCACAGTTGGGCTGGTTTCAATCCACTGCGTATATCCCCTGCGGGTTGGTAGACCAGGAAAACCACTCTGAGAAATCCCCAGGACTGAGTCAGCACTCAGATTGAATATTCTGGGTTCAAACACTCTGCCTCCTGTAATGGCAGAAAGAGAGGTTACTTAGCCAGTATTTGGTTCCTTCGGTGAACTGACAGCCTAGGTTTCCCATTCCCCACCCACCTTCCCACGAACTTCTTTGGAATCTATATAATGGGTTCTGAATAACTGGGGAAAGGACCTAGTATGGGTCAGGGCTTCTGCTCCTCATAAAAATGAGCTATTGTTCAGCTATTTGAACAGTGGAGCATGTATGTAGTAGCCCCAGCAGAGGCGTTGGACTAAGGTGTCAAGAATGCATATGCTCCCAAAAGTGGGGATCTGTGCTGTGCATCTATTCTAACTACAGTTATTATGGTACAATGAGTAGTCTGTCTTTCCCCTGAGATAGCACGTTGTCATCACTTAACAAATAATACATAATAATCTCCTTTGATATTTTTAAGTTTGTTTTACATTTGTCAGGATCTCTAATTTTAAATAAAATTATTCTGGTGAGGAAGCTATTGTACGTGCTTGTAATATTAGCGTATTAAATTAATGTTGACAAACAAGAAAAATACAAACTTTGGTATCTTATAGATCCACTTTAAAGGACATTCTAGCAAGTACCTTAGTCACTAGATATTTTACATTAGTGGATTTTTTAACCTTTATTTTTAATATTGAGGCCCAAAATTGTTTGTCTGAGGGTAGTATTTTGACACACTAGTATGTTTAGTTATGCAAAGGTAAATCAGCCACCAGATTCTGATGGAGTGAAATTGACAAGGTATTTAAAAGGGATTATGCGTTCCTAATTAGTCCACTGTGCCTGTAGATGGAAATTAATTATATTGTTATGTAAATGTCATGCTAATTAAGAGAGAATATTGAAGGTGTAATAAATCTGCAAAAGAAATAGGTAAGTTAACTATTTTTTGTTTTTATTAATATTTCATAGAGAGTTACAAGAGAAGCTGGTAGAGAAACGTTTGATTATTGAGCTACAGACAATTTTTATCTGACTGCTTCAAAATCCATTTTTCCTAATTGATGTCTTTATTGCACTATATTAACTGCAGCAGTGGGCTAGTTGATACCAAGAGCCAACAATAACCAGGCATTGCAAATATATTAACAAGACCATATATGTGTATGTATATACTTTAGTGTTTTCAAGGTTACAAAGTGCTTCTCTTCTGTAGTTGCCCTCCCTTTATTTTGAGTGCCGGACTGTGCAAACCCAATGACATTGAAAACGCTTGTGTTTTCATAGTGAGTATTGCAATATTTGAAGCCCCAGCTCCTGGAGTCGTCATATAAGGGAAGCTCAACTTTCATTTAAAAAACAAACAAACAAACAAAAAACCCTCTTCAGCCATCCCAGTCCTTCCAGCTGGAGTGCAACCTTGGTCTTCCCAGAAGCAACCCCCCTGCGGGGAGTTGATCTTCACCAGGCAGCATCTGTCACTCCCCTGGCTCTGTTAACCTCTCCTCTCAGAAAAACCAGCAAGGAGGCTCTTCCACTGCTCCCCTGCCTTCAGTCTTCTGACCCTGGCTCTCTGTCTTGGGGAGGGTAACTGGCAAACCCCTCTGCAGATCTCCTGGCTTCAGCCTTCTTCAGGCCTCTGGATCCAGCTCTCCAGCTTGGAAGTCCAGCAGGCAAGTCCCTCTGCTGCTGTCCTGCCTTCAGCTCTCTGGCTTGAGGAGGTCAGCCAGCAAACCCCCTCTCCTGCTTTCAACCTTGCCCCAGGAACCTCCAACAGCTTCCTTCAAGAACTTCCCACTTCTCTGATTCTCCCTCATCCTTTCTAACCCCAGGTGCTGCTCTACCTTCTTAACTGGCCAAACTAGGGCACCTCTTCTGGCACAGGGCACTGCACCTGCTTCATTTAAAGGGAGAGCAATTAAGCAATTCCAGTCATTTGGATTATGCTAAGAATTGGACAACTAGAGTGTTTCATGTGCAAAGTGCATCTACTGAATGAGCATTTTTTGACCCATAGTTAAACACACCAAGCACTGATTCCAGGTACTAAGATTTTGATACTTAGAGGGACGTGTTAACTTAAACCTATTTTTTGTAGCAGTTAAGTGAGGATAGTCATTTAACTTCATTTTCCTACACAAACTGTACTAATTTCAGAACAATGAAAAATACACTGCCTATTTCAAATAATATAAAGATCTCGGAGTTATTTGTCAGTATTACAATGGATTCAACATCATGGTTTCCGCATAGAATTGCAGATTCAAGCCCACCGTACACAATTATGCATGACTAGTTTTAATGGTGGAACAAAAAACAGCTGTAGAAGAAAGTCCTGCAAAGGGCATGCAAACTTCATCGGTTATGAGGCACTCTGGTGTATTTGCATGCAAATCCCAGGTTATTAGTTGTTGAAGCCCTACTACTGTGCAATACAAAAAATCAGACCCATCTGAACATAATATCTAATGAGGCAATAAACAAACTCCTATTGCACTCCTGGAAATGCAAAAGAATGAGGAACAGTTGCAATTTATTCTGCTTTAAAAATGGCAAGTAAAAAATCCTATGTTTGCCTGGGTTCTGAAAGCCCCACGTGGTATAAATATTTTACTGTACAATAATCTGGGTTGATCTCATAGGCTCCATCACGGTAGAAAATCAATTTTCTTTCTATGAAAATTAAAAGAATGTAACTAAATTACATTTTTTAATGAAAAAGGTATTTCACTTGAGACCAAAGCACACGTGTATGGAATTACTTCAGTAGAACTGCACACGGTTGCATGTTGTTGACATGTAAACAATGGATGTGCACCTGCTCCTTAAAATGATCAGTGACAAATCAAATAGACCTAAAATTGAAGTTTTTGTATATTTCCAATAGCAAGATTTTTTGGTATTCGTTCTAAAAATTCTTTTACAATATAAATATCCAAAATGTTGAACTTCATACTAGTGCTCGAGTCAGCTTGTAAAAGGCTCTTCAAATGGTTGTCAGGTCTGTCTGGGGATCCTTTCATCCCCTTTTCCAAAACACTAGTGCATTTTTTTGCATCTTGGACAATAGCATTGATAGTGTAAATTACTCTGACCTCTAACATTTTCATTTTTAATATTCTAACAAAGTCTAACACAAGTAAAGAAGCTGAATTCTTAAATGATTTCAACTTGACAGTGTTTTGTTAGATTTACATTTTGATTTACCTTGAAATCACTTTAAAGGTGACCTGCTAAGGGGGAATAAAAATTGTGCTGTTGAACTAGTTTTCCACACATTGGCTTGAGGACTCCTTGAAGGGCCAGGGAACTCAAGTGAGAACTGCTTCTTCCCTCATTTGAAAGGCTGGGTTTTGAAACCTTAAAATCTTTTGAGAGCTTTGATCCCAAGTGTTTTTTCAGAAGCTTGAGTTAAACAGATGTTCAAACACAACAAGCAGAGTTGTAGGTGGCCTAATTAAAAATGCCTTCCCCTCTCAATTGGCCATGTTTGTCACCTTTTGTAAAGTTATAATCCTATGAGTTTTTGCAATATAAACAGAGTTTGCAAGCAAGATCTGATATTTCTGTAGTAAAAACAAGTACAATTATAACATGAGAAAAATTCAGGCTGCCTTTTTATAAAACATAAAGAAGCAAAAAGGTACAGTTAGTTTCCATTGTAGGTTACTTTTACCAGTCCAGATTTGAAATGGTTTGAAAAGGGAAGACTACAATTTGTTATAGCAACAGTGCTGATTTCAGGACACGTAAATATTGGATGACTGGTAACAACTGAGGGCTTCTGTACTCTGCCCAGCAGTTTGGACTACAGGGATGTGAATAGCAGTGCACACCAAAATGTTGCACTATAACTCCCATGTGGATGCTCCAGACATGAACAAAAGGGTTCTTAGGATATGTCTACACTACCCGCCAGATTGGCAGGAAGCAGTTGATCCAGCGGCGGTTGATTTATAGCGTCTAGTCTAGACACGATAAATAGACCCCCGAGCACTTTCCCCATCAACTCCTGTACTCCGCCGCCGCGAGAGGCACAGGCACAGTAGACGGGGGAGCGGCAGCAGTCGACTCGCCGCAGTGAAGACACTGCGGTGAGTAGGTCTAAGTACGTCGACTTCAGCTACGTTATTCCCGTAGCTGAAGTTGTGTAACTTAGATCGATTTCCCTCTCCACTCCTCCCCCCTCCCTCCCCGTGTAAACCAGGCCACTGTTTGCATTAATGTAGTGCTGTTTGAAGATGGCTACATTAAATGTGAACTAAACCTTTTACTTCATGTCCGCACACAGGCCCGTTATAGTGCAGGACTTTGATGTGCATGGCAGTTCATACTCCGTAGTCCAAACTGCCTGGCAGCATAGACGTAAGCTCAGTTAGCAGCACATCCCAATACTTGGGGACAGGCTTATACTAACCCCTTGCTTTAAACTGAATTGTTGGTATTTTCGTCGCCAAAGTCTACTAGACCAGACGTAGTTTCAGGTTCTAGGTGTGTAATATCATCCAATTATCCAAGCTACAATGTATTATTACTGTCAGTTACACTTTCTGTCAATTTGTCTTGACTCAGCTATATGGTTTTATTTGTGCTTTACTGCAATACAGTGAATATACTGAATTGGGTTGTTAGTTTAACAAGATCTCTGGAGAGCTCTTCCATGATGATGCGTGTTGAAATATGGTAGGAAGCCTAAAAGCAATTTACCACCAAACAAATACCAGATGAGTGGGCAAGAGTCCAGAACCTGAAAATAAAATTTGTCCACAAAGGTAATGTAGTATATGCTTGTGTTGAGATTATACGTAAAACCAAAGCTTTGACCACTTGTGGTGATTGATGATCCCATGACACTTCTTCCATTTTGGTCAACATTGTCTCTGTATAACTTCTTCCAGCAGTTTCAGTTGGATATGCTGTTCTCTCTTCCCATCCTAAACTATTGTGTAGTTTTGTTGTGTGTTGTTCAATAGTATTGCATACCACCCAAAGAAAAGTACGTTCCCATGGTGGGAGAAGTGATTTTTAGAAATGGGACAAAATCTAGGTCTGGTGAAAGTAGGTTCAACTCATTAAAGTCTATGACATTTCATTGATTTACATAATCTGCTTGTAAAGCCCTGTGGGATGTAAATCACTATAGAAATATAAT